CTACCCTGCATCTTGGTGTCTGACGTTCCAGTAGAGCCCGGCACCCCATTTTGTGGATGGGGACACCTTTTTGCCACGTACTGTACACAGACACCGTAATCCTCACCCTGAACGGCTTGGGAAGATTACCCAAAGCCTGGAGGATTTCTGTTCGTGTCCTGGTGAGAAGGAGAATGTCAGACAAAAGCTGGAGCTCGCATGGATGGATTTTGTAGACAAAATCTGGAGCTTCCTTAGTCTCTTTTTTTTTCCCAGTCTGTATGTTTTCTTTCTACCTTCCTTGCGCCATGTACACAGTCATTTGTCTTTTATTCTCCCAAGACATGTACAATGCATTAGGCTACTGAAGCTGCTTAATAATATGTGTGACCTGCACATCTGTTAATTAGAATACCCTTTTGTTAAATTTGTACAAGTTTTTAAGTGAAACCATTTCCAGAGGAAAACGATGCAGGCACATATAGACATTTAGCAGCATCCCAGGATTCCTCACACTCCGACTTGATGATTTGCTTGCTTCCTTTCTTGTTATATGAATTTAATCGTCGTGAACAGCAGTGGACTGACAACCCTTAAAACTGATTGTCCTACTCACAGCAACGAGCACAAAAGATGCAGGAAATTCCAGCTGGTCTAGAACAAGATCTGTGTCTGCTCAACACGACATGGCAAAGGGAGCACGTTGCCCCCGCGCTCAGCTTGCTCGGTTAAACCCTGAGTTGTACTCAAGGTCGTTTCCTTGTGCTCTTTGATCTCCACGGGCTGGGGCTGAACTACCTGAGAGACAGACATCCCTTTCTTGACAACACTGACTTTCTGTAGCCAAAAGGATAGGATTATGTTGCTACTCGTTTCCTTGAGATACTGCCCTAAATACTTAACAGATACCTGCAACGCACTGCTTACTGGGCACGAGTGGTACTAGCTCTCTGGTACCATTCCCTCCCCATCAGACTTTCTCATGATTTGGCAGGAACCGGAGGAGAGTTTTGTCTGCTGAGACAATCAAACCTTTGCTGATGATAGGAACTGCCACTGTAATTTTTCTGATGTGAAACTTTATCTGCTGAGAATTAAACTGGGTATCACAGAGTCACGTAGAATATATGTAGTCTTTACACCATAGTGTTCTTCTATATTCTTGTTATCCATTTCCCATTGAAGAAGTGATCACCATTAATTGTGATGGACAATCAACTTTCAAGCTGAAATAGAAAATTGCCAAGCGTGATACTTTTCTCGGTTGTTTTTTTGAGGAGTAAAGAGTCAGGGGGAAGTTTGAGGCTGAAAGACAGAATGCTGAAAATAAAGCAAGGCAGTGAAAAGAAATCCTTAAAGGAGGAAAGCATTTGCCAGGTCTTGGGGAGAAGCACTGTTTTTTCAGGGGCAGGATAAAGTGGTACAGGAGAGGTAGAGTCCACTGAGATTTGGGTCCCCAAGGAGGTGGAGGGATCTCTGACTTCATCGTAAAATTCGTCCTGGTTGCCTATATGAAAGA